AACTAACTCTGTCTTAATAGCAGCATCAGGAACGATAGTCGCTGGCTTCTCCCCGCGGTTACACATGCTTATCTTGCATAGAGAGTAATAACCTTTCTCTTCAGGAGTGCCCTCGCTGGAGTCCATACGTCCAACCTCACTGGAGAGTTTCATTCTACCTCTGCAGCCTCCTTTCCGGTAGTATTCCATACGCCCTCTGCAGCCTCACCGATCCAGCCATCAGTGCTCCACTCCACAGCCTCCTTCTTTCCTCGGTGCCTTGTCATCATCGTTTTTTCTTCTGGGCTACTCCTTCCTCCTCCCCGTCCTCACAAATCCTCCTCATCCCCAGCGAGGCCTTCCTTCCCCACAAATCTTTCTCAGAGCCTCTCAGACCTGTCTCCTTTGAAATCAAACCACTTATTATCCATCCTACTTTGCATCATGTTACTTCCCTGTATGTTCTAGTTAATGTGTCCTACAGCTCTGTCTTGTTTTCCCCACTCTACCTGGTACTTAAGCATGGGTAACATGTTCTGAAGTACCTCCGAGAGTGCTTGGACACATAATAAGTACACGTTGGCTTGATCAGTGCTCATTTTTATTGGAACACACTTAATCTTTTTACTTGTGGCCACAGAACACGGATAAGATCAAAACATACAAAGCTGAGACTGAAATTTCTGATTGTGGCATCCCTAGACCCAAAACTGAATTAGGTCCTATGAGCTAGAACTGAATTGGAAACACTAAAGCCAAGAGGAATTTTCTTTTTCCTTTTTTTTAATCCTGAGCCAAGGATATGTTTTTATTGATTTGAGGAAGACAGAGAGAGAGAGAAACAGAGAAACATCAATGTGAGAGAGACTCAAGGAACCGCCCAGACTGGGGGTGGGGATCAAACCTGCAACCAGGTACATGCCCTTGACCAGGAATTGAACCTCTGACCCTTCTTTGCACAGGCAGATGCTCTAACCACCGAACACACTGGCCATGGCCAAGTGGGGTTTTCTGTTAACTTTCAGCTAATGGCACACAGGTTGAACCTGGCAAGATTTCAAATTACAGTAGACTGTTGCCTTCTGCTCCAGGCCCAAGACTTTGTGGTTCTTGGGAGAAATATTGAATTGCTAGCCCTCAGCATTAGGGTAAGAGACACATCTTGACTGAGGACATGAAGTATGCATGTAACCAGCAACAGCAGTTCATATGTGATATACACAGTTCCTCACTTAATACACCAAACTGAAAAAGGAGTTGTCATTTCCATTTACACCTGAGGAAACCGAGGTGCGGAGAGGTGCTCCACAAAAGGCCATGGATTGAATTGATCATGAAAATATCATTGTTTCTTGACTAGAAAATGCCTTTAAAAGTATAGGAAAATAGTGAGCTGGTCTTGGCAGATATGCAGTTATAGGGAAATAATAAATATCACCTTTTACTCTAGCGTAAGTGGTGCTCTTTGTACCCAAATCCTTTCAGCACACCCAGTTCTACCTAAAAACAGATTATGTAAGTGGCCCTGAGCCACACTTCTCTCTTTTTTTCTTTTCCCAGAATTTATGTTCAAGGACAAAAAGAGCAAACAGGCTGTATTTGCCCATCTGTTCAATTTCTTGTGAAAGACCTTTAAAGGTATTTTAGTATATCACTTTTCTTCTGTTTTTTCAAAGTATTGTGTGTTTTTTTAATTAGAGTTCTTACATGATTTCTTCTAAAACCTTGTGATTTTTCTGCAACAAATTGTATGCTACATTTAAGATATCTAGATTTCCCCCTTTATATCTAGTTTTTTATTGAAGACAAAAGCTTTGTTATATAGTTTGAAACAAGGAAGCGTGAGGTCTCTAGTTTTGTCTGTCTTTCTCAAGTTTGCTTTGACTATTCTGGATCTTTTTTGGTTCCATAGGATTTTAGGATTTTTTTTCTATTTCTGTGAAAAATGCCACTGGATTTTAATAGGGACCATATTGAATCCTGGATCATTTTGGATAGTGTGGATATTTTTTAATAATATTAATTCTTCCAATGCAAGAACACATGATACCTTTCCATTTACTTGTGTCTTCTTCAATTTCTGTGATGTGTGTCTTACAGTTTCAGTGTATAACTCTTTCATCTCTTTGGTTAAATTTATTCCTCAGTATTTTTATTTTATTATGCTATAGTGAATGGGATTGCTTTCTGAATTTCTTATTCGGATAATTCATTGTTAGTGTACAGAAACACAACTGACTTTTGCATGTTGATTTTGTATCTTGCTGCTTAACCTGAATTTTATTAGTAGCTCTAACACTCTTATGGTGGAGACTTTAGGAATTTCCATTATGAGATCATGTCATCTGGAACCAGAGACAATTTTACTTCTCCCATTCTGATTTGGGTGCCTTTTATTGCGTTGTCTTGCCTAATTGATCTTGCTAGAATTTCCAGTATTGTGGTAAGTAGAAGTGGTGAGTGAAGGGACACTTTCCTAATCTTAGAGGAAGAACTTTTAGCTTTTCACCATTAAATATAGCGTTAGCTGTGGTCTTGTCATAATGACCTGTACTATTCTGAGACACATTCCTTCTATATCAAATTTATTGAGCGTTTTTACCATGAAAGGTTGTTAAATTTCATCAAATACCTTTTTCATTTCTATTGAGATCCCATGACATTTATGACCTGAGAAATCAGGGTTAACCAGGAATCAGTTAAACTTGGGAAGAATGGGAGAAAGAATAAAAAGAATATCTCTACTCTAAGACCATATCTTTACTAATAAATCTGTCTTCAAAAATGATATCTTTTTCTTTTCTTCCTCTCATGATCTCAATTTATTTTACAAACAAGCACTGAGCTCTTATATAATATGTGCCAAACACTGCCTGAGGCTAAAGGTCCAATACACTGAGGGAATAAAACAGTACAAATATACATCTGTGTGAGCCTTAGGTCAAACGGAAGATGAGCCCGTAAAAATGTGTGAAAAAAGAGCAGAGAGAGAAAAGGAAAAGTGGGAGACAAAAGAAGCGCAGATGCCAAAGGAGCCGAGGAAGCAGTGTGGCTCAGCATTTTGAAAGCTGGTGCGAAGTGATACAAGACAATGGTAGAGACGTACATTGGATTCGTCACATAAATGTTTTTGATGATGATGTTGAGAGAAGATGCAATAAAGTGATGGTACTAGAAACTGGACAGTCAACAGATGAAAAATGACTGGTTAAAACCACTGAAACGTTGTCACTTTGTGATGAAAACAAACCCCAAAAAATGACTAGGAAGGGGAGCAAGTAAACGGGAGTTGTGAATTTTCTGTCTGGAAGACTCTACTACGTGTCGTATGAAGGGACTAAATCTAGCAAAATGGAAAAGACTGTTAGAACAGAAGAGGAAAACCATCTATGAAACAAAGTCCTCGGAAGGATAAAACTGGAATGGCATGGTGTTATTGACTCAAGTGGTAGAATAGTAGAAGGAGGCACATTTTCCTCATTATGACAGGCGGTAAGAGGAACGTGATCAACGTGATGGGGGCAAGGAATAGATATATTTGTAGGTAAAAGAAGAGGGTTTCGGAGTTGGGGCTTCTGTTTCCTCATATGTTTTCATAAGAAAAATAACTGAGAACTATAAAAAGACCTAGATGAGAGCCTTAACAAGTCCCACATTTAAAGTCCATTTCAAGTCAAGTTGGAGGAGAATGAATAGCTAGACAATCAGGAGGAAAACCTGGAGTATCTGGTGTCAAGAAAGCACTGAATAAACATCCATCCACACTGGGCGCTAAGAGGCAGAACAGAAAGCCCAACAATATCAGGCTAAAACCATTGGAAAGAGAACGAAAGAAAGAAAGAATGTAGAGGCAAAGATTCCTGTGAGCTCTAGATAACTAAGAATTACAGACTGCACAATTTAAGTTTATTTTTTAACTTATTAACTGCAAAGGGGCTTTCATATTGTTAAAAGCACCCAAATGTTATGAACTTTTACAGGCTTTATCTTTAAATCAGCTATCCCTAACTAACTGCTAGAAACACTGTAGGGGAGAAATAAATACAAGCATACATCAATGAACCATTGCTGGGCAACGGGCATTACTATCAACAAAGGTGTTCATTAAGATGCCTATCTGGGTTTTTAGAAATTTCTTTTTTTAAATGTTTATTGAATTTATTGGGGTGACATCCTATAGAATAAAAGCCTAATATGCAAATTGACTAAACAGTGGAACACTGGTCACTATGATGTGCTCTGGCAACCAGGGGGCAGACGCTCAATGCAGGAGCTGCCCCCTGGTGGTCAGTGAGCTCCCACAGGGGGAGACCCGCTCAGCCAGAAGCTGGGCTTACAGCTGGCAAGTGCAGCAGCAGTGGCGGGAGCCTCTCCCACCTCTGCTGCAGGTGGGCAGTAAGGAGCAAGGGGTCCCAGACTGCGAGAGGTATGTCTGACTGCTGGTGGATATCCCCCGAGAGGTCCTGGACTGCGAGAGGGCACAGCCAGACTGAGGGACCCCCTACCCCACTGCATGAATCTCGTGCACCGGGCCCGTAGTTGGTTAATAAAATTATACAGGTTTTAGGTAGACACTTCTATAATACACCATCTGTATATTGAATTGTGTGTTCACCACCCAAAGTCAAGTCTCCTTCCATCACCATTTCTACCCCTTTACCCTCTACTATACTGCCCTTTCTCCTTTCTCTCTGGTAATCACATACTGTTGTCTGAGTCTATGAGTTTTTGGGTTTGTTGCTGTTGTTGTTGTTGTTTTGGGGGAGTAATCCCTTTACCATTTTCACCTAGACCCCAAACCCTGATAAATAGGTTAATGTGAGGCTTCTAAAATAAAACTGTGGATTGTAATTATCTTATACTTGTATAATTATGTGAGTGTTTATCCTTTTCTTAGATTTCAAGTTGTTTACTTATTATAGCTTTTACAAAAAAAATAATGAGTGACAAGAATTTATATATGTACAAAAAAGAAATACACGTGGTTATTTCTCTGGGGTCATATGTATTTAATTCAAATCTTATAATTTAGATTCCACATGGATTGCAATAAATGGATCTTCGGCAGTGTTACTGATAGAGAAGTGAGCTTTGCCGTCAGCAGAGACGTAGATTTTGATTCCTGTACACTTGTCACCGATTTTATCTCCAGAAATGACATCACAGTAGGTGCCAGCAGGAAGACCCGTTTGCAAATAGGAAGACAATGGCCTGTGACAGAAACGTGAAGATTTCACTTGAGTTCAACACAATGAAAAGCAAGGATGCAGATGACCTCTGAAATGAGCGGCTGCCCTTCATGCCACGGACACCACACAGTCAGGTCTCAGGGAGAAGAGACTCCAACACAGAGACCTCTCCGTGGGATGCGTTTTGTCAGGGATAGAGGAATCCTCTAGGAGACGGAGCAACTTCCTGGTCAACCAAAATATATATTGGAATACCACCAAACATGACGGGTGAGGACTGTCGGTGAGGATTTGAGTTGTACAGGCCCCCTCAGGTAAGAGTACTTCCTGAGGTGCCTGGCCTGCGTGGCTCAGTGGTTGAGCATCGACCTATGAACCAGGAGGTCAAGATTTGATTCCTGGTCAAGGCACATGCCCCGTTTTAGGCTCAATCTCCAGAAGGGGTGTGTGAGGAGGCAAATCAATAATTCTCTCTCACCATTGATATTTCTCTCTCTCTCTCCCTCTCCCTTCCACTCTGAAATCAACCAAAGTATATATTTTGAAAAAGTACTTCCTGTGGTACACAAATATTTAAAATATGTCCTTATCTGAACTTAAATACAAATTACTTTCAAAAATTTTAATTTGATTATGTTTTCCAAAAAATCTCTTTTTTTCAAGAGGCCAAAATGAATTTGGGCTGGAGATAAAAATAATCTAGCATTCCTTTGAAGGAGTATATGGTTTTAAATAGAAGCTGTCACATACATTTATTTTGCTTCTCCCATCCACAGAAGACAGACACAAGAAGAGAGATACTGGATTCTTTGTTTTGTCCGTGGAATATAATTTAGGCTGGAATGAGCTGAGCATACATAGAAGTTGCCCTTGGACGGAGACATTTCAGCAGCTTGCAAAAAGGTCTAAGGCATGCTCTTGTCTCAAGTGTAAAATTCAACTCTCCTCAGGTGAATCGCTGACCCTAAGATACATATTCGTTACACGTATGCTTTGAAAACGATTGGCATGGAGAGCGGGAAGTGAACAAAAGGACCAGAGAACCAGATATAAGACTAGTTGAGAAAAAGAACTAGAGAGAGGTATTTCAGTACCAGGCAGTCATCCCCCATCATTGACATAGAAGGGGGTCAAGCGACATGTTCATCTAGTGATTTCACAACCTGTACACTAACATGGGTGGATGTGGGCGCATAGAATGTGCCTCGTACCTGCACATGACATACAAGGTGCACGAACACCGCTCTTCTGAGAACAGAGAGCCCTCATCAAGAGGCGATCAAAAGAACAGGAACCATCATGTTTTTCTGGTTCATTTAATCCACTGACTAAAGAATTTTTCTGATATTAAAGAAAAAGTTAAATGAGCAGCAAGAGGAAAGAATGAACCCAGAACACGTTAGTATAAAATATAATTTCTGACTGATATCTACTTACCAGTCATCATTGTTAAAGATAATGAATCCTTTGCTTCCTCTTCCAAAAGCCACTTGGTTGCTGCCATTATCCCACCAGTTGGTGAAAAGTTCACCGTCAACCACATTACGGAACATGACCATGTTCCTGAAATCAAAACACAGTAGGATTGCTATGCATTCTTCAACGGTTTCACATAAAATGCTAAGCAAGTTAATTCTCTTAGGATCTCTCTGAACAAGGGCCCACCTGATTTGACGCCAGCGATGCTCACAGACCCAGTCGTTGCCGCAGGTGGTGTCTGGGTTAATAGTGACTTCTTTAATTACTCCATTAATATTTGGTGGCCCAACCCAATCATTAATATCCTTCATTAGCAAAAAGAATAAAAAAATGCTGAGATTTTAAAGGTCAGTGTTGCCTCTTCCTTCTCCAGTATGCCAAACCCAATCTCTCCTGTTTGTCTCTAGAGTGTCTTCATGTAGAATCCAACTCCTTCAGTAGCTGTCAGCCCTTCACCAAGTTCTCAACACCTTCCCTCTGAATTCTCATTTTCTAGTGCCATGTTTCAAAGGTAAAATTTTTTAAAGCCTGGCCGGTGTGGCTTAATGATTGAGCATTCAACCTGTGAACCAGGAGGTCACAGTTCGATTCCAATCAGGGCACATGCCAGGGTTGCAAGCTTGATCCCCAGTAGGGGCATGCAGGAAGGATTCTCCTTCCTCCTTGATGTTTCTCTCTCTCCCTCTCCCTTCCTCTCTGAAATAAATAAAAATATATTTTTTAAAAAATTTACTCAGATGAGTGAATTTACCAAATTTGTTCTCATCTGCATCTTTCCCGGTATACTCTGAACATTTCTGTTCTTTAATACATATATGATCCTTCTTCTTATAAAATACTTTGCCTATTTAACCTCAATTCAACTATATATTTTTTTTGCCTTCCATACAATTTTTTTAAAACATTTAACCAGTATTTATATTGCTTAGATTATGAACAGGTGCTGTTTTAAGTTCTTTACACATGTTCATTTGTAATCCACATACCAGCCAGGCAGTAGCAGGCACTTATAAGAGGTACCAGTTATACTCACTGTATCCTTTTGTTCAAGTGTTTGGGGGCAGTAAGGAGGTATGTTTCTCACGTTTCAGAAATAGCTTGCATACCGTTTAACAACAGAGACCATGAATTTTAGTGTTTTAATATCCACTCCATTGCTAAAAGAGGCCTGGGTCAGCTTACACGTAAAGAGTTGATAAACAAATAATAAATGTAACAGCATCAGGTAAACTTAGAACAAAGCTGCCCTTTTCTTGAGAAAAAGGTATGTTGCAGGGCACCAGCACTTACTTTTCCATTCACAAAATACCTCGGCCAACGGAAGCTTGACATGACGCGTGTGAACCCATATGGATGGGCGAGCATAAATGCCACTCCCATTTTGTAGAGTCTGGCAGTTACAAAACGATACCATCGTGAAAGAAAGTAATGTTTTCAGTGTTGTTAAAAGGTAGGGGGACACCAAATGGAGAACTCTGTTCCCACCTGGCGTCCCAGAAGGTAAGGATGGATGAGCCTCCAGCGCCGTGTCCCCGCTGGTTGTCGTGGTTGTCCACAAAGACGAGGGCTCTGTCGGAAGGCATGAAGCCCCATCCTTCTCCCCAGTTCCTGTGGGTACGCACACACACACCATAGAGTAACTTACATGTGTGTTTCTTTCATTATATAATGAAATTCTCTCACTGAAAGGATTTTTGTGTAAGGTTTTATATATATAGGGTGGGCAAGAGTAGGACTATAGCTGTTCATATACAAATCATACAAATAAATAATACAACAACTAATATATCAGTAATAGAGGAATAAACTCACAACCATAAACCTACTTTTGCCTGGCCCTATATACATTCTATGTAGATATAGCTGTGTTATCTATGAATACATTCCATGTATGTATATGCATATAAATTACTTGTATTGCATTCATGTTACTGGTATTTCTGTAATTTATAAAATCCCTTTGGAAGTCTTAGGGATCATGATTGAGATGGACTTCAGAAGGATCAACGTCCATCGCATACAGAATGGCAAACGGGTTTAAAAGAAGGTTTCCATGTTTGCGTTCACAATACAGACATTTTAAAATGTGAAACCATTTGATAGGAGGCTCGTGAATGCCACAGCATGGCCACATTGTAGGGACTTTCTCAACGACAGACCATTCTAGTAACAACCTGGACTTCCCAGGTCAGTGCTGGCAGTCAGCGTAGGAGAGTCATGTAAGCCGCAGATGAGAAACCCCAGGGGATGGCTTTCTAGACATACTTCCTGGGACTGACATTCTATACGATAAAGATGACCCATTCGAGTCTGGGGAGCGAGCACACTTGCTGTTGGTAACTGATCCTCGCAAGGGTCTACATAAGGTCTTCAGAAGATAACTCCTGTCGGCACAATGTGATATGTAATCAGTCTGTAAAGTGAATCCAAGAGCCAGGCGTGTGCCACTCACCTCAGATAGGCCATCTTCTCCCCGTGCCACTTGCGCAGCACTGTGCCCAGTTTGGCACCATACTTGAACTCTGTCACGCGGCCGTTGTCGAAGTAGTCACTGCTCTTAATGGGCTCACCACCCAGATCGATTACCTGGAAGAATTATTCAAGTAGAAGAAATGTAGCGGGGAATGCCATTTTAGGTTATGCTTTTAACCAACAAGTGAACGTCATATAGAAAATGGCTTTAGCCCACCTGGCATGTCTCAGTGGTTGGGTGTCGACCCATGAACCAGGAGGTTACAGCTGGATTCCCGGTCAGGGCACATGCCCAGGTTGTGGGCTTGATCCCCAGTGTAGGGCGTGCTGGAGGTAGCCCATCAATAATTCTCTCTCATCATTGATGTTTCTCTCTCTCCCTCTCCCTTCCTCTTTGAAATCAATAAAAATATTTTTTAAAGTGGTTTTAAACAATGTTACTTGACATGCCCCAGATGATGCTCCTTATACCAAGATTCTCATTTTTGTTGTTACGGTATTTACTACAATATTAAAAGTGACTAGACAAGGTGGCCTGCTGTCCTGTGAAAACCCGCATCTAATGGAGTCTTCCATGTAAACAGATAACCTCACAGAGCAATCACTGTCTGGTCGACAGCATCTCTAAGTGCTTGGTAAGTACTAACTCCCCTAACTTCCTGACAACAAAGACATCACTATGACCTTTTCCTCACGTGAAGAAACTGCGGCACGGGGAGGTTAATCAATGTGCCTGAAAGAACACAGCTCCTAGTGCTACAGACAAGACTTAACCTCTCGCAGCCTGGCTCAGGACAACCAGTCTATGACCCGTCTTCTCTGATGGGAGACGGTCAATTACAAAGAGGTGCTTGCAGCCTAAACGGAATCTCTGCTCTTCCTTAAAACCCCTTGTGATCAACACTTAGAGAGTTCGACGAAGAAGGGCCTCTGAACAAAAGGAGGTTAAAGACACTGTCTTCGCCTGCCTGGTGTGGCTCAGTGGTTGAGCGTTGACCTATGAACCTGGAGGTCACAGTTCAATTCCCGCTCAGGGCACATGCCCAGATTGCGGGCTTGCTCCCCAGCAGGGGGCGTGCAGGAGGCAGCTGGCTGATGATTCTCATCATTGATGTTGCTATCTCTCCCTCTCCCTTCCTCTTTGAAATCAATAAAAAATATATATTAAAAAAAAGAACATTGTCCTCTACAACTGATTCCTGTTCTATGTGGATGATTTAGTTACTAACCTACAGAAATTATATTTTAATGAAATATGTCACTCATTTTCTGATGAATTAAGCTACATTGTATGTGCACACATATGTCTCAACGCACCTCCTGGTAAATGAAAGGTTTACTTCCTTCAGGGAACCAGGTTGTGTTCAGAGGCTGCAGTTTATCCAGAACCGCCTTCATGTCTCCGGGCCACATGTGCTTGGAGGCGTCGATTCTGAAGCCGGCCACCCCAATGTCAATGAGGCGGTTCATGTACTCGGCGACCTTGGAGCGCACGTAGTCTTTCTCCAGGGCGAGGTCAAGAAGACCGACCAGGCGACAGTCTCTGACCTATGGAGGCAGAAAGTTCGTGACTAATGCATAAGACATGGTGTCCACCTGAGAATCCATGTGGCCAGTCACTCATCTGTTCATTAATGAGTATCTCTATAGCGTCGTCTTCGCCTTGGGCACTGGGGACATGGACACTCTGGTCGGAACATACCTTTGAGGTACTTCCCGGTGTAAAAATGGAGCATGAAGGAAATGAAGTGGCTGAGCTTTTTAATTGGGAATCAGTAACTTGGAGAAAGTGTGGTACCTATTGCTTTGAGTTGTTTTATTGTTGTCCAGTCAGACTTGGAGCCCTATTTTCTTAAGGAAGTTAAGGTAGCACTTCAGTGGAGATGAATGAGCTGTACACAGAGAAAGGCAGACAGAGAGCTCTTTATTCAGATCACGGTGGAGTTCCTAATTACCTGGTAAGCGTCATTGTAGTTCTCGATGTCCCCACTTGCGGTTCTACATTTACCATCATTGAAATCCCAGGCCGAGAACGGGACGGAGGGGAAGTCCCGGCTTCCAGGGTTGAAGAAACTCCCACAGGTGCTGCTGGTCCCCGGGCTCACGCCGTTGCCGCACATGTGGTTGATCACCGCATCCACGTAAATGTGGACCTGAAAGGCAGCGTTTCTGCTTCAGTTCGATCGATGGCGAGGGAACCATCTAGAACATTATCGACTGAAGCTGACAGCATGTTCATAACACTCCAGACTAGTTCTTTTTCTTAGTTATGTTATAATGTACCTGCCTAGAAGACCAAGTATACAAGGAAATCAGGTGAACCAAAGACCTACGTGCATGCCAGCCACAAGGCCAAGTGTTTACATACATGGTAAATGAACAGAACCAGAAACTCCCGTGACTATGAACGAAGGCAACGAGCCTTTGCTGTGGGAGGCAGGAGTAAGTGGAGGAGAGATTGCGGATCTTGGAAATGTCCATGGGTCACCCTCTGCTACCGACTCAGCCTCTGAAGACAGGGTGGTAAACACTGTCTCTTATTGTGTTCCTCATCAGAGGGATGGTTTATCATCAAACAGCCCGAGGGGAAGAAGACTCAGGAATTACGGATGGAGACACAAGCCATGTGGAAGGGACCCAGACATTGTCACTGGAATTTCCAATTCCTGACAAAGTATCTCTGGAAATCTGTACAGTTACAAGGGTTAAAGGTTGATATTTGCTTTATAAGCAAGATGCCTTTAAACCCCGACTTAATCTTTAGTAGATAAATGGCATACATACAAAGAATGACAAAGAATGAAATATAAGCTACAATTAAACTTTAGTTACAGGTGAAGTATAAAGTAAAATAAAAAATGGGAAATGTTCTCAAAAGGAGCAAGAGATGGGGGCGGGCAGAGAGAAATTATATTTTTACGTAATTTTTTTATTTTTTATTTTTTTAAATGTATCTTTATAGTTGAAAGTATTACAGATGTCCCCCATATTCCCTCATTAACCCCCTCCACCCTGTACCTGCACTCCCCCTCCCCCCAGGCCTTCACCAGACTATTGTCTGACATAGATATTTTAAAGAATACGAATTCACTTACACCAACGTTGTTACATCTGGTCACCATGTCTCTGAATTCATCTTCGTTTCCTGATCTTGTACATAACTTGTAGCTAATCGGTTGGTATCTTTCCCACCAAGGTCTTGAAGGGTTATTAATGATAACATTTTCATTGGGTGGAGAGATCTACAAAGAAAACAATCTTAGGTATCAAATGGTGGCTTACTTCGTATCACTGGATAGTCTAGAAAACAATCCATGGACTTAAATGCTTTCTCAATCTTTGTATAAACTGCTTCATTTTTCTATAAGCACTGAAAACGATGAACCAGCCTATTGCTGATATCCTGCTGAAGAAAGAATATACCAGAAACAGAACCTAAAGTTGCTAACAATACTGAATTTTGTATGTTCCTTACAAAACTCCTTTGATGGCATATAAAATACAATTTCTGGGCTTCACCGACACAGAGGAGACCATATGCTATAAGGCGCAGCCGCCCCGCGACGTACACTGTGAGCCAGACCCACCTGTACCCCTCCGAATCCTTTGGGACCCAAGTACCGCTCACATTCCAGGGCGATGTCAGCCCAGCGCCACTCAAACAGGTGGACAATGGAAGTGCGCCCAGGCTTGGTGTTGGGGGCGTACTGAGCCCAGCAGAACCCGAGGGCTGAGAGCAACAGCAGGAACTTCATTTTGCTCTGAAGTTGTCAGGGTTCTTTCCAGCCACTATTTATATTCCTGCAAGAAGCATGGTTTACAAAGTAAATGTTCACATGAGCAAATACTCGGGGCACAAAATGTTGACTCATAATCTGAAAGGAATTATCAATAAAGCATAAGATTGTCCAGGAAATGAGTCCAACTGACCTCTGAGAACCTTAATGTTTTCTTTATTAGGGAATATCAGCCTTTTTTAACATCTGGCACTTGATATACATAAAAAGCAATCCCCAATCATGTATTATTTACTTATCATTCGATTTTATTTCCAAAGCCCTTCAAAGATAGAAGGAAAAGAACAAACAGAGCCAACTAAATTCATAGTCAGAATGTTTCCTTAGGCCTGGCCAGTGTGGCTCAGTAGTTGAGCATCAACCTATGAATCAAGAGGTCAAGGTTGGATTCCAGGTCAGGGCACATGCCTGGGTTGCAGGCTCGATCCCCATTGTGGGGCGTGCAGGAGGCAGCCAATCAATTATTCTCCCTCATCATTGACGTTTCTGTTTATCTCCATCTTCCTTCCTCTCTGAAATAAAATATATATATTTTAAAAATTGTTACCCCTAGCCCCAATTTTTCAGTTACTTAAATTTCTGCACCTAGATTTAAGAAACAGTTTGGAAATTGAATGTCTGTGAATTAAGGAAACAGAACATTTCGTCTCTCCATCAAATCATGTGCTTAACACATGTCTAGAGAGGTAATGTGTGAGTATATATGCTTTTTCTTTACCCCTGTCCCCAGCAGTCTCACGTCTCAGACACAAATACATATTTTAACATGTACATGAATTAACATTAACCAAGAGCAGAAAGTTATCTACTATTGTCATTTGCAGTCATTAGTCTATCAGCGGTTCTCAACCTGTGGGTCGCGACCCCTTTGGCAGTCGAACCACCCTTTCACAGGAGTCGCCTAAGACCATCCTGCATATCAGATATTTGCATTACGATTCATAACAATAGCAACATTAAAGTTATGAAGTAGCAACGAAAATAATTTTATGGTTGGGTCACAACATGAGGAACTGTATTTAAAGGGCCAGAAGGTTGAAAACCACTGGTAGATGCTCTATAAATATCTTTATAGCAAGTAACTTAATAAAAGTATTAAAAATTGCCCTAACCGGTTTGGCTCAGTGTATAGAGCATCAGCCTGCAGACTCAAGGGTCCCAGGTTCGATTCCGGTCAAGGGCATGTACCTTGGTTGCGGGCACCTCCCCAGTGGGGGGTGTGCAAGAGGCAGCTGATCGATGTTTCTCTCTCATCGATGTTTCTAACTGTCTAGCCCTCTCCCTTCCTCTCTGTAAAAAATCAATAAAATACATTTTTAAAAAATAAAATAGAAGTATTAAAAATTTTAGTAGAAATACCTCCTCACATCTATGTCTGTTATTTCATCACTTGTATTTCTCTCCGGGTGTTTTTATATTTTTTCTGTTTTCCCAGTTTTCAATATTCTAGAATGTTAGGTAGTAATACTACTGCAGCACTTGGTCGAGGTAATGGTTTCTCTTCTAAAAATAGTCACAATCCCTCTAAGTTTTCCATGGGATCTCATGTACAATTTTCTTAAAACAATACCCTGTCGCCTACGAGCCCTCCCTCTACCAAAAGAAAGGAGAAATAAAAGCAAGAAAAATGCACCTGAGATCAGGATAGTAAGTCACATGGGAAGGTTAGAGAAGAGAAGGCAGACAGTCAAGTTTGCCTACAGTTCTCTGCAGGGAGCGCTGCCTTTTGAGTGAAGGTTTGGACGCATTTCAAATCTAAATTGTATGTTTTGTGCTGGTGGACACTGAGACTTCAGATGTCAACAAACCTAAAATAGACTGTGACACTTTGAACTCTATCGAATCATATGCCAGGAGCCACTTATTTCAAGACAAAAAGGGGGGAAGGGATTACATGATACTAAAAAGAGCAAACTGTAAAATAACTTACCACATCAACTTCTGTAAGCCAGCAATCCCATAAATCCTCCGTTCAGTCTCTTATCAATGGTAAAAATTAAGAAAACAAACAGTTCTCTTTTTCTCTTCAATTAAGGAAAAAATGCTGCATTTTAGACTTTATAAACTGCCCATAATCCTCCTTCTTCCAGTCGTGGCTCTGAGGACCCTGCTGAGTTCTCCAAACCCACGTGGTACCCGGTCTAGCCTCAGCCCCACTTGGCATCAGGTCAGGCCAGTCTCCTGAGCGCCTGGGCTTCCCTCCCTGTCCCCACCCCCTCCGCCCGCAGCCTCTCCTCACTCCTCTGCCAGGTTGCTTTCCTTTTGTCCTTCCTTTCTCTTTCTCTGAGCCTCTCCCAATCTCCACAACCCTTTCTTTTCTGAATGGTTTATATTAATCCATTGGGGGGAAAATTGCTACAACAAACAACACCCTTAAAGACAGATTAGAATATTGCTGTGTTAAATGAGTTAAGTAACATAAGTGTGACTAGAATGTAAACAAAGTCTCTAAACCAGAAATCTAATTTTGAATGCAAGCTTTGCCATCGGCTCTGAGCCCGGAGGAAAACCATGAAGTCTGTACATGACATGTCGATCCTCATTTAGCAAATGGGAATCATGGTATATGTTAAATATTCTAAAATAACTACAGCTAGCAACACGCATCCAGTGCTGCTGGTGCCATTTCTGTGTATTATCGCTTTGATTTCTCACGTGTGTAAATGCAAGAGAGAGCTATGCTCGTACCCAGTTTTAATTACTGAGACCACAGTGTGACTCCATAGTGAGCTTGTAACCCAGTCCTCTCAGCCTGTCACCGGGTGTCACAGAGTATTGTATGTGAAGGTATTTTGAAATCTGGGAATTTGCTTGGCTAGTAGTAACTGTTAGACAGACATGAGCAGAGCAAGGACCATGGGCCAGGTACAGAAACTCACCAGGGCAGAAAGCCCTGGATGCCTAGCAAGGGGCAAAACTGGGAACACAAGAACCACCCCCCCCACCACCACCGCCCCAGGGTAACCTATCCTCCCCTAGACAGCGGTCACTAACCTTTCGGACCTCACGGACACCAGTGGTCCGCGGACCACCAGTTGGCAACCGCTGCCCTAGAGTGTGGCTGCCCACGTGGTTAGCACACCCTGACTTTCCATATCACTGGTCATGCAGTTTAGACCCTGACCTCTCCTCCCTAGAGACAGCGGCTAGTCCTCAGTTGTATTTCAGCTCCAGGCTCAGAAAAGCAGCAAAACCAGGGAAGCAATGCAGTGGCTGCCCCAGGAACAGCTACATGACTAATGACCCCTGCCCTGGTGCCGACCAATCAGGGGAGACCATGCCCTGAAAGAGCATGCCTGGAAAGCTGATGAATATTCTATTAGGCCCTCCTCTGAACCTCCCCTCAGATTTCCACCAGCAAGAGAGAGAGACTCTGAGGACAAAGGAGCAAGCCTGTGCCACTCCCTCCTCCTCTCCTTCCCCCACAGGCATGTATCTCCTAACCAGGGGAGCAGTGGGCAGTGGCAGCTCATCTGGGCTCAGCCCCTGAGCCCGCGTCCAAGGCCCCTTTTCTCTGACTGCCCAGTGAGCCACAGCAGCCCGCCTCAGTGCTCTGTTGCTTCTGAGCCCTTCCTTGTTGCACTGTCCTAAGTATATTTTTGCTGCCCTCATGGACCCAGTACCCTTTGGCTCAGTGCTGTGGAGCCCTTCCCTCTCAATGGTCCCATCCCCCATCCCTTTTTCCTTAAATAAATTCATTTTTCTTTATTCACAGCCTGAGGTGGCTATTTCGCCTGCCCGACTTTCACCTTTCAGGAATATGTTTAGAAGATCGCAGAATGAGGGTTAGCCTCTTATTTTTTGTTCCTTCAAATTTTCACTCTGAACAAAATTAACTCCCCTGTTAGGACTTGATCCATATGCACCCACAGAACGCTTTCTTGTTCATACTCAGTGCTCCTTCCCTCGGGGGAATTATACACTCCTGTCCTGTCGAGCTGGGGAGTGTCCAGGTGACTTGCTCTGGCAGTGAAGTGCAAGCAGGAGGAATATGTTGGACTTTGAGGCCTCTTTGTCCTCTTTGTTAAATCTTGTGTCAAAATGGAGTTCTGTGGCCAACTGTGAAGTGGCTAAGATGTAGGGTCAGTGCCCTTGTTGACCAATGATGAACTTAACACATACGTGTGGTTACTATAAGCCAGGGAGGATTTGTTGTTTTTGTTACTAACCTATTCCTTTCTGATACAACCATTAAGTTCCCTTATGCTCTTTGATTCAGAAGACATTCTATATGACATTTGCTTTCTCTTAGGATGTAGGAAGTCAAGGGTATGCATTTCTAGGAATATGTCCATTTCATCTAGGTATCTAATTTGTTGGTGTAGAACACTTCATAGTACTCTTTAAAATTCTTTTTCATTTCTGTAGACTATGCAGCAGTGTCCCCACTTTCATTCCTGATTTTGGTAATTTGGGTCTTTTTCTCTTTGTCCATCTAGCTAAAGGTTTGTTAATTTTGTTGTTTCTTTCAGTCAACTTTTGGTTTGATTGATCTCTATTATTTTCTTTCTGTTTCATTGATCTCTACCCTGATCTTTATCATTTCCTTTCTTCTTCTAAGGTTGTGTCTCCTTACTTCTTCATTTTCTAGTTCCTTAAATTGCAGATTAGGTTATTGACTTGAGATCTTCATTATTTGTAAGTAATTATAACTGTCAATTCATACCATTGTTGGTACATTTTTTGTTTTCAGTTAAATATTTTCTAATTTCCCGCGTGATTTCCTCTTTGATGCATTGATTGTTCAAGAATGCATTCATTTCAATGGGAATGTGAATTTTCCAGCTTCCCTAGTTATTGAATTCTAACTTAATTCCACTGAAAATTCTTTGAATACATTAAAAATACTTTGAATAATTAGTAGCTTGATATATAGTCTGTCCTGGAAAATGTCCCATGTGTACTTGACAAGAATGTGTATGGTGTTGTTGTTCGGTAGGGTGTTCTGCGCATGTACGTTGATTTATTATGTTAAGTCCTCCATTTCCTTCATTTTCTCATTTTATCCCTTATGTGAGTGGGGTACTGATGTTTCCAACTATTATTATAGAAATATCTATTTCTCCCTTCAATTTTATCCATTTTGACTTCATACATTTTGAAGGTCTGTTCCATTTGCTCTATTGAAACTTTTATTAATACCTATTGTCTTTATTTTCTGTTGCAACCTTTTTTATTTAGTCTATTTTGTCTGTAAAGCCACCCTGCTTTCTTTGCTTACTAACTGCATGTAACATTTTTTTTTCTCTATCCTTTCACTTTAAATCTATCTGTGTCTTGGGATCTAAGAGTCTTGTAGACAGCATATAGTTTGACCAGGTGTTTTTACTGAGTTTCCTAATATCTGTGTTTTAATAGAAGAGCAGTTAATTTACACTTAAAAATTACTGAAAAGGAGAGACTTACTTTTTGTCATTTTGCTTGTTTTCTATATGCATGAGAGCTTTTTGGTCTCTCATTTCCCAATTTAGTGTCTTACGTTTAGTTGTGTGTGTGGAGTTGTGTTGTGGTTTTGTTTTTTTGTAGTGAAGCATTTACATTACTTTCTCATTTCCTTTTGTGTATATCCGGTAGCTGATTTCTTTGTAGGTACCATGGAGTTCACATCCTTAAACTGTAACACTGTATTTGGAGTCTATGCCAGCTTCACTTCAGTAACACACAAGAACTGCATTACAGCTCTCATCCCACGTCTTTTCATTGTTGAAGTCCCCAAATTACACCTTCATACATGATGTGCCCCCACACATATTTGAAATGCCTTAGTCTCTTAAATTATGTGGAAAATGTGTGGAGTTACAAACCACAGCTACAATACTGACTTATGGACTAATTTTTTTAATGTGTGCCTCTTAAATAATGTGGAAAACAACTCTAGTTACAAACCACTGTTACAATAATCCTAGCTCTTGTAATTGCCCATTATTTCCTTTATTGGGATCTGAATTTCCCCAGATGGCTTGGAGTTGCTGTCTAGTGTCCATTCATTTCACGCTGCCAGAGTCCCTTAAGCATTTCTTCCAGTGCAGGTTTACTTGGGAATGTCTTATTTCTCTCTGAGTTTTGAAGAACAGTTTTGCTATGTATAGGGTTCCTTGTTGGTTTTCTTTTAGCACTTTGAATATATTAATTAGTCTACTGGCTTCTGATCAAGGTTTCAGATGAGAAATCTGATAATTTTATTGAGAATCCCTTGTATGTGACAATTCATTTCTCTTGCTTGCTGCTGTCAAGATTCTGTCTTTTATAAAATTTAATTATATTGTTTCTCAGTGTGGGTCTCTGAATTTATCTACTTGAAATTTGTTGAGCTCCTTGATGTTCTATTCATGACTTTCATCAGATTTGAGAAGTTTTCAGCCATTATTTCTTCAAGTACTCTGTCCCTTTCTCTCTCCTTCAGAGACTCCTATAGTGCATAGCTTTAAAATGAGTCTTAAAATTAGGTAATCTAAGTCATTCAGTTTTGTTTTTCTCAAAATGTGCTAGTTATTCTAGTTCGTTCATTTTCCAAATAAATCTCAATCAGTTTAGCAACATCAACAATATAGAATTTTTGAATGGGAAAGAATAATTTTTTAGTCAACATTTTAATAATCATGACTCTACATATATACACACATACATACTAGAGGCCCAGTGCACGGATTCAGGATCCCTCAGCCTGGCCTGCACCCTCTAGCAATCCAGGACCCCTCGGGGGATGTAGCAGTGCGCCCAGCAGCAGGCGGCCAGGCAGGGAGGAGTCTGAGCCGGGGCCGGCACCGCGCCACTTGCGCTCATCCCGGCCACTGCACCTGCCGCTGCTGCTCAGTAGCGCTGCCGCGGAGTCAGGAGCAGCTCTGGCCACAGCAGCTGCACTCACCAGCCTCGAGCCCGGCTTCTGGCTGAGAAGAGCTCCCCCTGTGGGAGCACACTGACTGCCAGGGGCAGCTCCTGCATTGAGCGTCTGCCCTCTGGTGGTCAGTGCACGTCATAGCGACTGGTCGACCAGTCATTAGGTTGTAATGGTCGCTTTGGCTGTGTGTGTGTGTGTGTGTGTGTGTGTGTGTGTGTGTGTGTGTGTTTAATTGATTTCAGAGAGGAAGGGAAAGGGAGACATAGAAACATCAATGATGAGAGAGAATCATTGATTGGCTGCCTTCTGCACACCCCACAATGGGGATTGAGCCCACAATTGCAGCATGTGCCCTGACCTGGAATTGACCCTGCTTCATACATAGGTTAACACACTGGCTGGACAATAATCATGAGTCTTTTGACATATGTACACATTATCTCTCTCCACTTATTTAAGTTTTCATTTAAAAATTTTTATAGAGTTTAGAGATAGGATGGGACGGGAAAGAAATGAAACATCAACTTATTGTTCCACTTATTTATACATTCATTGGTTGATTCTTATATGTGCCCTGACTGGGGATCAAACCCATGACCTTGGCGAATCAGGACAATGCTCTAACCACCTGTGCTACCCGGCTAGGACTTAGTTTTCATTTTTTATTATCAACTAGAGGCCCAGTGCACAAAATTCATGCAGGGCAGGGTCCCTAGTGGCTGTCAGCTGCCGGCCGGTGCCTTCCTTCGTTCTGCGCCACTCCCTGGTAGTCAGCACAGGTCATAGCAAGCGATCAAACTCCCTAGGAGACACTTTGCTTATTAGGCTTTTATATATATAGATAATAATTGGTGGAGGGTTTTCACCATACAGGTTTAGTATGTATTTTAGATTTTTACTAATTATTTCCGCTTTGGTACTATTGCAAATGGTACTTTTAGAAAATTTTCAAAATGTAGTTGCTTATTGTTAGTATATAGATGTACATTTGATTTCTACACCTTTTAATTTTGCAGCCTTAACTCACTTATTAGTTGTAGGAACCTTTTAATTCCTTGGGATTTTCTACATGCCATTTCTGAATAGGGACAACTTAATTCTTTATGTCTGATTTGTATGGCTTTCCCCTGCTTATGCACTGGCTGTCAAGATGTTGAATAGGGGTGGGGAATGTGCACTTTCTTGCCTTTCTCTCATCTTAGGAGGAAAACATTCAGCCTTTAACCAGTAAGTATTAGCATAGCCATAGGTTTTGTAGACACTCTTTACCAAATTAAGGAAGCTCTTTCCTACTCCTGGTATGCTGAGTTTCTATGAATGGATGTTTAATTTTGTCAAATGCTTTCCCTTCCTTTATGCTTTTTCTTTACTCTGTTGACATGATGAATTACATGACTTTCAGAATTTGAACTAGTCTGAACTTCCTAAGATAAACTTCACTTGACCATGATGTATAATTCTATTTACATATTGTTGATCAACTTATTAACACTTTATTGAGGATTTATGCATCTATACTCATTAGAAATAGGGATATTGTAGTTTTCTTGTACTTTGCCTGGTTTTAGTATCAAGATAAAGCAGGACGCAGAAAATTAATTTGGAAGTGTTCGCTTCTCTGGAATTGTTGGTTTTCATTTGCTGTTTAGTAGAATTTACTAGTGAAAATACCTAGACCATGAGCTTTCTTTGCAGGAAGAGTTTGAATTACGAAGTAAATTTATTAAATAGAAAAAGGATTGTTCAAGCTACCTACCTCTTGAATAAGCTTTGGTAGTTTTCACTTTCAAGAAATTGGTCCATATCATTGAAGTTGTCAAATTTATAAAAACAAATTTGTTCAAATTCCAGTATTATATTCTTACAATTTGGAGGGGGGGCGGGGGTTTCCTCTTATTTTTCTTTGCAATCTGGCTAGAACTAGTTTTGTTTACAATGATATTTCCTGTTTACAAGGTATTGGTTTGTGCTTATTACTGTTATTTCTTTTTCCTGCTTGCTCTGGGTTTAATTTATTCACTTTTTAGTTCCTTACAGTAGAACATACATCATCAATCTGTCATTTTTATTCTTTTCTAATATAAGCAAATTCCCTTTAAACACTTCTTTAGCTGTACCTCACAAATTTTTGTTGTATTTTCATTCATTCAAATTCAGTTATTTTCTAACTTCCCTTAAGAATGCTGCTTTGCTCTATATGTTATTTAGTGATGTGTTATTTAATATCCAGGAATTTGAAGTTTTCCTGTTACTTGGTATCTGGTTTAATTTGGCTGAGGTCAAAGAACACTTTGTATGATGTTACTGTTTAATGGTACAGAACACCTGTCTTCCAAACGATTAGCGATTATTTTGCTCTCCAGTGAGGGAGGAAGAAAAGCCTTCCTTTGATCACAGGACTGATACGCACACAGTGTACAAGCAGACATACAGTGTGTTGTGATTTTAAAATTTCGTGTAGGTTGATTAAAAAAGTCTAAAAATGCTCCTTTGGGAGGGAGAGTAATTTTAAAAAACAGCTGAAAAACTGGTTTAAAGGTACGCCACTCTTGCTTTATTTTCGTTTTAGTTGTGATATATCTGTCATACAGAAAGATGTAATTAAAAAAAAAAAGACTCCATGTCCCAAGACCCAGATTTAAGACATGTTAACATTTTGCCAAAATATTCTTAAAACACCCTTTTTAAAGAAAAATACAATACATGCAGCACTGCGCACTCCAACTTCATTCTCCTTTCATCTTTTTCTTCCACAGTGAGGCAGTCAGTGCCTCCATAAGTACATAGTTCTGTCTAAGCTCTGAAAAGTTTCAAGTAATAAAATAATCCGGGGCTCAGATTTTCTTCTGTATTCTGGGATTTTCAAGGACCCTGGTATATTAACTACCGGTAAGTGGTATACTGGTGCTGTCATAATTTTTCAAATAAAATACCTTCTTATGTTGTCACACACCCTTCTCATTTCTAACTGATGTGCATTTTTAATAGATGCAATCCCCATTTTGATGTATGTTAGTCCTAGATGTTCTCAAGTCTTGTGTGACCTCCTAACTTCCCCATGGCGTTAGAGCTCAGCTTGTTTGGTGCAGGGCCTCTCCTCCTGGCACTTCTTCCATGCTGGTGAGTCTCAGGTGCGTATCTGAGACTCCCCCCCCTGCTCTTTGTGACTGCTCTGCCGCTATACAGCTCGCTCCCACAAATGGCAGTTGCTTAAGTTCTTGGGGAGGGAACTCTGTTTCTCCTAAGAAGCATCAGCTCTCTCTCTACGTGCCTAACACACTGGTCTGCTCTCATGTCCACTGAACGATCCTCCTGAGTCACTGTTTCTGTTGTATGTGCATGAGTTAAGGAAATTAAATGGACCAAACAAAATGTCTTCTTAACTCACAGTTGGAGTTTACTTACAAACTCCATTACTCACAGAAGGACCTATTTTCTTATGGGGTGGTAAACATCAAATTACTACATCTCAGCACTCAGCACAGTGCCTGGTGAATGTTAAGTACGCATCAGATATTGATTCTGTTCCCTTACTTCCTCTGAAAGCCTTAATATCTTTCTTTTTTTTTTATTCATTTCAGAGAGGATGGAAGAAGGAGGGAGAGAGAGAAACATCAATGATGAAAGAGAATCATTGATTGGCTGCCTCCTAAACGCTCCTCACTGGGGATTGAGCCCACAACCCGGGCATGTGCCCTTGACTGGACTCGAACCTGGGACCCTTTGGTCCCACGGTCGACACCACTGAGCCAAACTGGCTAGGGCCCTTAATATCTCTTGATATTGATTTTGAAGGAGTCTTATTTGCATAGTAAATACTTTCTGATTCACCTAAAACAGCAACCTGAATACTCTGCCTTCTGTCTGATGACTGACTTACCAGGATGACGCTGACTGTTCATGTTGCTAACAGGCAGACTCCTTAAAGGGAACAAACACTCAAGGTGTCTCACTGCTTCACACTCCTCTGAGCCCTTGTAGAAGGCATAATGGAAAGCCACCGTATGGCAATCAGAGTTTACATATCAGATATTACTGTGTTTGTTCTGACTGCTCCACCGCCAGCCGTTCCCTGCCTCCCTCCTCCCTGAAGCACAGTATTGAAACGAGACCAATTAATAACTCTACAGCAGCCTCTAAGTGTCCACGTGCAAGGGAGAGTCACACGTCTCTCACTCCAAGTCAAAAGCTAAGGATGAGTAAGCTCAGTGAGGAAGGCATATCCAAAGCCAAGACGGCCACAGGCTGGGCCTCCGGCCCCAGACAGACAGCTGAGTTGTGAAAGCAAAGGAAAAGTTCTTGAAGGAAATTAGAAGTGTTACTCCAGCGAACACACAAATGATAAGAAAGCAGAACTGCCTTATTGCTGATAAGGGAGGAAACTGTAATGGTCTGGATAGGATAAACCAGCCACAACCTAATTAAGGCAAAGCCTAATCCAGAGCCAGGCCCCAACTCCCGTCAGTTCTAAGGTGAGGAAGCGGCAGGAGCAAGTCTGAAGCTGGTGGAGACTGGGTCATGCGGTTTAAGGAAAGATACCGACTCCACAACACAAAAGGGCAGGTGAAGCAGTGGTGCTGATGCAGAAGCTGCAGCAAGTCAGCCAGGAAGCCAGCCAAGATCATGATGGAGGTGGCCACACGCGACAATAGACTTCAGTGAGAGAAGAGTGACATTGGAAGCAGATGCCACTGGGACTTTCAGAGCTGGACAGGAGAGGTCAATGCCTGGCTTCAAAGCGTCAAAGGACAGGCTGGACTCTCTCCTTAGGGGCTAATGCAGCTGTGACTTTCAGGTGAAGCCTGTGCACATTCACCATTCTGAAAGTCCCTGGGCACTTAAGGACTATGCTAAATCTACTCTGCCGGGCTCTAAAAATGGAACAGCACATCTCTTTACAACATGGCTTACTAAATATTTTAAGCCTATTGTTGAGGCCTACTGCTCAATAGAAAAGATTACTTTCAAAATATTACTGTTTATTAATAATCAATGTAAGACACCCCCCCCCCCAAAAAAAATGACTCACTGTAGGCTCAGAGTATGGTAGCATTTTTTTTTAAACAATAAAGTATTTGTAAATTAAGGTATGTGCACTGTGGTTTTTAGACATAATGCTATCGCATATTTAATAGGCTACAGTATAAACATAAACTTTTATAGGCACTGGGCAATCAAAAAAATGTGATTCGCTTTATTGTGCTGATCTCGAACCAAACTGTAATATCTGTGAGATACGCCTGTATATGAAAGTTTTCCTACTTACCTACAGCCGAAACTAATTTCACCAAGGGAAGGGAATTTTATATGGGAATCATTTTTACCTTTTGAATAATATTATAATAGATTATAGGGGCACAAAAATCAAAGACTAAACAAATTCCCTAAACTGGAAACACACACACACACACACACACAAATAAACAAATAAAAACCTCATAGCCAGACAAACAAAACTCCTAAAAGAATTACAAGAAATAAGATCACTATTAAAGAAAATTTTGCAAGTAAGAGCACTGGTATGCAGGTAGGAATTAAAAAGGGGCATTATTTATAATATTAAAATACAATTTAATTTAATATTGTAAAACCACCTTAATAAAATCATACTTTCCTAGCCATGTAAAACATTAAAATTAAGAATACTATTTTAGTGAAAAAATAATTTATTATATAGAAAGCTGATTAAAATACACATAATATATGTCCAATAAACTAATTTAAGTGCATATACACTTAATTTTTAAATACACTTTAAAAGCTGTTACGCACAGTTCCATAGCCCAGGTGGTCAATTTCTTCTCAGAGGTGCAAAACACGGGAAAGACATGGAATTCAAAAGGAACCTAAAATACCATAAAAATTAATTGAAAGCAGTAATGAGTATAAAACAGTTCATTAGTTTAAAAATAAATAAAAGCTAAAATATTTATATTTAGAAAATTAGTGAATCATGTCAGTACATTTTGTCTAAAAACAACTTATAAAGAAAGTGATTTATAACATTAAAAAATATAGCATTTAACTCCCTATAGGGAAAAAAAAGTAATTTCAATATCTATAATTCTTTGCACTCTTAGGATGATAGTGATTATCAACAGATTTTTGAACTGTTTTCACAGGACTAAGAGTAGCAGGATTTGCAAGAAGGAAATGTAGAGGCACCAACCAACCTTTATTTTCCTACCTAGAAAGGTAGATGGGTAGGTGACATTAGGTACCTAACCATTTTAATCTCACAAAGTCGGACCCAAACTGCAGTCCTTATAACTATACTAAGGGAAGGGATCTTTTCAATGAGATTGTTCGTTGATTCCGAGATATGACTTATTAGTTCTGGGACCCAGTTCAGAAATCTCAGTCTAAAAATCCTTGCTAGGTGGTTCTCAACCTTGGTTGCATGTTAGAGTCAGAACTTTGGGTGGTCTGAAAAATCCCAGAATCTATGGTGCACACCTGATCGATAAGTCAAAACTCTGGGGGAGGAACCAAGGCATCAGTAGATTTTTTTAGTGTGTCTTTTTTTTAAATCAATACATTAAGTCTCCCAGGTTATTTCAATGTGCAATCAAGTCTGAGACCCGGTTCTGAGTAATCCTGGTCATGAACTAGTCTGGAAACCACTGTTCTGACATATCCACCAGACTGTTTCTTTCCATTTAATGTGCTACCCTGAGTCCACATTCTGTCTTCCAGCTAATACACTTTTCTTCTTGCTTCAAGAGGAAAAAGATATTCCTACTTGCTGTCTGTCTCAAAGGAAATTTCAATAGCACTTCAAAGGTGAGGTCTGCTACCCTTATTGGGAATTTACATAGGAATCTAGTTATGCTATTTTTTGACTAGCTAATATTTTTTAATATTTGAATTCTTAAAATATTAAAAGAAAAAACCTTTCCCCAAATTTTACAACACATTATACAGAATACCTGACTAAATCTGTATATATAAAGGCCGAAGCGACCGGCCGACTGGCCAGTAACTATGACGTGCACTGACCACCAGGGGCAGATGCTCAGTGCAGGAGCTGCTAAGCTGCAGTCACTTGGTAGCAGTGGTTCTCCGGTGACGGACCCGGAACCAGAGAGGAGGGAGCCCGGTTCTGGGGTGAGTCATCCAAGAACCACCCTCTCGCAATCTGGGACCCCTCGGGGGATGTTGGAGAGCCAGTTTTGGCCTGATCCCCGCAGGCCAGGCCGAGGGACCCCCCCACTGGTGCACGAATCCGTGCATCAGGCCTCTAGTATGTCATAAAACAGAACACGTTACTGAATTTGGTCTAGAAATTACATAAATGAAGAAAAAGGGCTAAATTCTGTATTAAAGTAAATGCATACATTCTACAAGTAAATAAATTGACCTGATTCACTAACTTTCCCTGAAAAAATTACGTAACCTAAAGGAAAGTCTAGAAAATTTAGCAGCACATCTAAACAAACCCATATAAGATTTGTTCAATCAACACTGATATTTAGAAATACTTCTTTTAAGTTGCAAAAAGTATTGCTTATTCTGGACCAATGAGTGGGAGGGACAAAACATTTCTAAGAAAAACAAAAAAAAGTACTGCCCCCAAAAGGATACGAGAAAGGATACGCTTTGCATGACAGTATTACAGCGGTATTTACGCAGGAATGCTTCTAAAGAAGAACAGCGGGATGCAGTTTAATTTCTTCTCATTTCCACATGAAGTTTACATATAAATGATTTTTTAAAAACACACTATATATTGTTTCTTGTTAACTGTTCCACTAAGGCATTTGTAGGACTTCTGACTACATCACTATAGATGTTTTAAGACAAAATTCAAATATTTAAGATATCCCATAAAAGGAATAAACATGAAGCAAAATTTTCTCTAAGGTAAATAATTTTTTCAGCTTAACAACAGTAATTTTGACTCATTTACTTCATCTTCTTCCAGTGTACAAAGGCAGAAATATTTTAAATAAAATAAAAAAGGATCTATTTCCATTCATTTTTCTTTCATCAATGTAACACAACTTTAAAGTTGGAAATGTAATTCTACCATTTTTAATAATAAAATTACTTGAGTGTGCATTAGAGTTACATATTTGAAAAACAAAGATTTCATTCCACAAAAGACATGTATATATTCTCTGAAGCGTTCAATTAGTAATTATAATGCAAATGCACAGGCCCACCAAGGATGACTGGTTTGTCCTGGCTTGACCCACACACCCCGTCACAGAAAAACTGGGGGGCAGGAGGGGGAGGAGAGCTGGCTTCCTGGTTTCCAAGGTCCCCACCCCAGACCTCCTGAACAGAAACTCTGGCAATCTGACACCCTCCCCTTATAAAACCTATTTTCCCAGTATGACTTTCATATACAAATAGGCTTTATTCTGCAGTTACCACTTTGAAGTTGAATGAGAATTAACGGCACAGTTAGACAGAGACAGGCATGGACAGATGGATGCGTGGAGCTAAGGGCTTTCACTGGAGTTACTGCTCTACCAGCTCCAAGTGGTAGGCAGGGGGGACAGGCGGGGAAACCACAGGACCCTCCTCCAGAAGCGTTTGTGGCAGAATCTCAGAAAGTCTTCTCCTTCCACCTATTCATAGCCACACTTACCTTTACCAATTTGTATCACTTTCTTTTTCCTTCTTTAGAATCTTGTTTTGGTCTAGCAGATCGAGCGAATTGCTAATATTTAAAAATTAAGGTTTCCTTTACAAACATGGAAGCAATCTTTTCTAATTATCAAGAACTTTCTAATTCAGGGTAGAAGCAGAGTTTCTGAATTTATCTTTTATATTTATTTTTATACTCTCAGACATCTGTTACATGTTTTATCTACCTGCTGTCCACGATTTGGGGGAGAAGTAAAAATGTACCTTTTGTCTCCAGTCAGTATCTTCCACACCCAGACCTTCATCTATCCCGCTGATTAATAACTTGCAAACTATATTCACTACTAAAAGCAGGGTGATTAATCAATGGTATGTTCTGTTTATTAAAATTCTTAAATGCAAACATGAATTACAGTACGATAAAATATAAGCTAAAACTACAATGAACTGTATCTCGTTCATGACCCTAAAGGAATTTCGGGGGACTGCAGGCTGAGGCTCAGCATGCACACCCTGTTGGGCTGTGTAAGAGATAGGTTTAGACTTGGCTACATTTTAATAACCTCATGCTGCTGCTGAGGTTCCTTCATCTCCAATAATCATCTAAGCACTCCTCTCTCAGCTAAGTACGTCTGTGACTGAGTACCTCCAGTTAGAATGTCAGTTGTTAAGTCTTCTAAAGGTTGATAAAAATCAGTTTCAACTATACTCTTCTGAAAACTAGTGTTTGGAACAGACAGGTTAAAAGGATACAACCACCATAGGTTTTCCAAAAAGAACATATCCGTTAGCTTCCTTCAAGGCCTTTGCTGCTGCTTTCTCGTTCGGGAGCCCAATGAAGGCCTGTCCTTTCATGCGGCCCTCCTTCATCAGGCGGATGTCAAACCTGGAGGTTGGAAGAACCATGGTGACCAAATGAATGGAAAAGTTCCTATTTCAGTGCGAAAACAGCTATACAACCTCGTTAGCACATCGATTCCTCAGGCTTCGTAACACTGTATTTTGTAGTCAGTTCTAAAATTGATTCTATGAGTAGACAATAGAAGTTTGAGGATGTGCTTACATATATTTTTTAGCTATCTTAAATGTATTTATGTGATTTTAAAATTATCTTACTAGCAATTATGAAGCACATTTCTTAAGTTGTTACGTCGTATCTCTATTTTTAAAAAATTCCATGCAACCAATTCAATATTACTACTCAAGAGACAAAAAAACAACTATATGACCAAGAACAGAAGGGCTGATCATGACCCCAGAAAAAGAACAGGATTTCAGAGCAGGAAGAGATGTCACTAATCACCGTGTCAAAACCACGGATGTCCCAGAGACTGTGGCTTCTGCATGGTTGTGATACTGAGCCCAAGCCGGAGCTTGGACTAGGAAGCAGACGTGCTATTCCCAGTGTAGAGTTCCGCTCTTCGATAGTGTATTTGTTGTAACATTGTGGACACAAAGCTATATTGGAGACTCCTTAGGAAAAGCAGATAACTTGTAACTAAAGTACTACTTGCCATTCAGAGAGTCTATAGGACCAGGACAATCATATAAAGCATAAAAAATGCAGTGAGATCTTAAAATTCACATGACTAAGTCCCATGAGGAACAATTACTAATCTGTCATTTTGTCGGGTACAACTTTCTCCATATAGAATTATTTCCCCATGAAACTCTAATTGCAGGCAATCCTGGAAATAGAAGGAAAGAATGTATACACACATTTGTACATATCGATGTACATAAAGTATTTACTTATTTATGTTTCTTACCATCATGATTTAAAGGCAGCAACAAGAAAAAGGACCGGCAAGAAAACCTTCTGATATTCTAATAAGAAAAGGCATCGGGGACTAATGCATATAATGGAGAATGTTAAGACCTGTGCATACCTATCTAAAAAGGTACACAAGGCCAGACCAGACTTGAAAAGTGCTGGTTGCTCAAGAAGTTTAAATAAAAATTAACCAGTTGAGAAGTCTCTCTCCTCACCTCTTCTGCTTCTAGTTTACATGGCCAACACAACAGCCTTACGTACTTATGAGCCAACTATTATGGAATTTCAAAGAATAAAATTCGAACTGCAAGCATTAGCTTTCATGTCATTTACTAAGCATATCCCTCCGAGACGCTCTCACAGGAGCCTTGCCTGACTCAGCCCAATTCAGAGAAGTGACTGCCACAGGGAGAGTGAGACACTGCCTGGCGCTGTGGGCCACCGGGCGAGGCACCGACAGTGGTTTCCAGGGGGACTGGGCACCAGCAGCTGGGCACCATCCCCGAGCTCTCAGGAATGCAAACCCATAGGCCCCGCCTCCATCTGGAAACCCAGACTCTGGGGAGGGACCCAGTCTCTCCAGGTGATTCCTGTGCCGGGAACCTCTGCTTTGGGGCCCGTGTTTCTGATGAGGCTGCTTCTCTAAGTACATTTTACCAGAACTCCGCCACCAATAGTTTCATGTATTGTTTGTGGCCGCTTTCATGCTCCGAACGCGGCCCTGAGCTGCTGCAACCGGGACCACGTGGCCTGCACTGAGGTGAAACCACTGGATGTTTACGACCTGCCCATCTGCAAAGAAGCCTGCCGACTCCGCTTCTCACTAAAGGACAAGCGCTGGGATGAACCAGGGTTACTCCCTACGGTGAAAAGAAAACTCTGAGGATATGACGGCCACTTACATTATCCGTTGTGTTTCTGATGAAAAGTCAACGTATCTTCCAAAAATAAATTTAAGGTCCTAGAATTTCAGTAAGGAAAAAAAAAACAAGTAAGGAAGTCCAGCCAAAAAAATAAATAGTAAAATAATAAACTTTATTTACAAAATTTGACTTACCTTTTCTTGAACATGTTTAGCTAAATTCTTTACATAAATCCTACAGTTTGGTTCACCGGGTTCATAACTTCTGAAAACCGAAAGCGTTTCCATTTCTTATTTAAAAACAAAACAAGGAAGTAAAGTTAAGATATTTTACATCCATTTTAAAGCCTCAGAGGGAGCAAGGCTGGTCCATGTCCTGGAATTACCTTCTCTAGAGACCCGGCCCTTCTCCAGCTCCCGCCTGGAGATGCACTCGGACGGCGTCTCGTCAGAGTCCTCCTTACTCTCCTCGGCGACGCTCGGGTTAGGTTTGGGGAAGATCTTTCCAAATCCTACAGTGGACGCATCACCTTGGGCAGCAGGTAAGTCTAAGGGTTAAGGTCAACAGGAGCCATTAAGAATCCCTCCTTTCAAGACGTTCTGTTTTCCACTTTGAATTGTCAGGACGTCTTTGGCACTAAGCCCTCTGGTGTTTTTCTCGGACTTTAGAACAGGCAGGCAAAGTCTGTTTGTCAGGGTTCAAACAGCAAGTATTTCGGGGCTTGCCGGAGTACGCAGCGTCTTCATAAGGTACAAACACCTGTACTAAGAGAACTGGCGCCTGCAGGCATCTACGCACAAGATGGTCACACCGCTGTTTCCTAACCAGCACTGCGATTGTACCAACAGAACCTCCGCACATCACACTTCATGAACCACGAAAAAATAAATCAGCATAAGAACCCTTCTAGCACATTTCCAGTGCAGACATCAGTACAAGCCAGACTCCGGTGCACCCTGCAGTCCATTACTTGCAACAGGCAATGTGACATTCCCGTTGGCAGCACCAGTGCTGATTATATAAAAAAGGTGACACTGGACAGTATCCCATGGTACCGAGGAAGCCCTGATGGCATAGTTTACCTATAGTTCACAAATACTAAGAGAGAAACGTTGCGTATAGAATATAATTCTCACACAAACGCTGACTGAGAAACATGTTTACATCACATTTAAAAACTATGCTAAGCGAATACGCCAGTCAGAGAAAGATAAATTATCACTCATTTGTGGAATATAATGAACAACATAAACTGATGAACAAAAACAGATCCAGAGACAGAGAAGCATCGGTCTGACCGTCAAACCTCAGAGAGAAGGTAGGGGAGGGTGGGGGTTAGGGAGAGAGATCAACCAAAGGACTTGTATGCATGCATATAAGCCTAACCAATGAACAGAGACACCAGGGGGGTGAGGGCATGAGTGTGTGTGTGTGTGTGGGGGGGGGGGGGGGGGGGGGTAAGGACACATATGTAATACCTTAATCAATAAAGAAAACAAATACAATAAAGAACATTTACTTTAAATTCCTTTAAAAAGGTGAAAGAATTAAAAAAAATACAAAAAGAAATTAACTCACAGACAGACAACAGTATGGTGATTACCAGAGGGAAACAGAGATGGGGGGAGGTAGGAGAGAGTAAAGGAGGGACACGTGTGGAAAGAGACCTGACCTGCGATGGTGAACCATAAACAGATGATATATTATAGAACTGTGCCCCTGAAACCTATATAACTGTATTAACCAATGGCTCCCCAGTAAATGCAATAAAAAAATAAAGAGCATTCCTTTATACGGAATAGAAAAAAAAAAATAGAACTAGAACGTGCTTACCAGGATTTTGTTCTTCAAAATCATCTTCCTTTTCTAATTCTTTCTTAAATGCAGCCGGCATGTCGGTGGATATATGGAACTCAATCTTTTTATTCCCGACCGGCTGTGGTTGATCGAATACATCCGACGGGGACAGCACCGGGTGTACACTGCAGTTCACAATCACAGCGTTACCTTGCAACCATAAAGAATGTTCCCGGGAAAACACTATTTTGTGTTTACTGTACTTTTAAAAAGCTGACACTGATAAAGCATGCACCACTCCAGGCATTTCACAAAGTAAAACTTCCATGGACTACTTCGGTAAAGCCTGACACATGTTCTCCTGTAAGTCCTATTAAGGCCCTAGTTCACACAGATTGCAGAGTCCCACAGCAAGTGGCAGGGACAGTACGTGAGGACTATTAATAAAAAAAGGGAAAAAAAGATCATTTTAACAAATGCCTTTCTCAATTTATGAAGTTATGAGCTCAAGGGAAGTTGACATAGTAGAAAAGTTCCATGAAATTAAAATTGCAATTAAGAGTAATTGAATCTGATTAAGATATTGAAATACATAGAACTCCTTGGCAAACAGACATCCCTGCCACAACAATTTTTTAAAAATGTGATTTCCGCAGGCAGACTAGCACCTACACAGCCCTTGTTCCATAATCCACCAGAACTACCTGTGAGAGACAGGAGCAGGTGTGGTCAGCATGTCCTTTATTTTCCGTCTTTTTCTCACATGGCGCTGTCTTGTTGCTTTTGGTCTTTTGGGCTGAAGATTTGCCAATTCCATTAGTTTGGCCATTCTGCCTTGGAGAAGGGAAAGGCAAAAATTATTTCCGTACACCAAAAGGTTGCCAGTTCGATTCCTGGTTGGGGCGAGTACAGGAGGCAACTAACTGATCGATGTTTCTCTCTCACATCAATGTTTCTCCCTCCCTCCCTCCCTCCCTCCATCCCCCCGCCCCTTCTCTCTAAAAAAAAAATTTTAAAAAATCAATGAACATGTCTTTGGGTGAAACTAAAAAAACAGTGTATAACTACTATATGCTCGAGGGGTTGGTGCTGGGGATAAACAAATTCTAAAGTCCCCAAGTTACCAAGAATTACAGTGAAATTCAGAAGAGCAAGAGAATCTCCTCTCATGGAATGTGTCTCTTCGAATCTAAACAAGCAGGATATGACGTCACGGACCTCTGTCGGTCTTCCTCATCGCTGCTTTCATATTCGGACTCTTTACTAGATAAGTCCTCGTCCTCGTCCGGCAACGGCGGTTCCTCCGGGCGCCGAGGAGACACAGGTGGGAGAGGGGCGTGTAACGGCACATAGTCTTCATACTAAACAACAACAAAACCAGTGATGTTTCCAGAACACATAAACCACTCCATTCAATGCATGGATGCATGACTCTCATCTCTGTAGCTCATGATATTCTGACACACTTCACACACACGGAGGGATACCTGTGTGGCAGACGGCCAGATGAGCAAACACGTGCTTCTTCCTGGGCACCTGGCATACACCTTCTTTAAGAATCTCTACCTAAAGGTGTATGCTAAAGTAACCAAGTATTCCCAAACTCCCCTGGCAGTCAGAGTTCACCAGGAAAATGTTTTGGCCAATGAAGGACTGGCATGAAAACCCTCCACACGTGAAATTCTCTTCCTTCTTGCTTGGCAGGCTGCACGGCAAAGCCCTCACCAACCTGGGAACACGCACAGTGGGGGCCGAAGTCTGCTGCATGACTCAGTAGGGCAGAGCATCATGCTGCACTATTTTTGGAATGAACTTGACAATAGCAAGAAGTAGCTTATATTGCGTCAAGTGACTAAGACTTGAGTTTATTTGTTAACTGCAGTTGGCATAAGCTTAACATCCTTGCCCTGAGCCAGGCACTGCGGTGGCAGGAAAATTTTCTACTTAAACGTCAGCAATGAATAATTTCTCATTGAGGTTATCTGAAAAAGGACTGTGGCAAAATAACAGCCAGAATTATTCCACAGCACACAAAGCCTTTTACCTGAATTCCTGATAAATGTGCATAGCAAACTCTAATGAAAGTATTAGCAACCTTTCTTCTGCAAAGAAAGCTCTATATGCCACAAAACCGCAGCAGGGGGTGAGATAAGGAAGTCGGCTCCAGGTAATTATCCTACAGGGGCAGGCTGCTCTGGACCAAAGGGCTAACAGCTTTGCGTTCTCCACATGACCCTTATCTCCATCACAGTGACTCTGTACCTGCTCCTCAGTTTCAGGGCACAGGAGAGGCCAAGGGCATCTGTAGCATTTAGTCTCAATAATCCCACCCCTACAGGAGCATTTTTGAATCTTGAAAATGCTAAGAGCTTTCTTACCATGGGAGGTCGTGCAGTGATTGGTCCAAAAGGTGTGGGCAAATTCATTTTATTCATAAGATGAAGCACCTTAAATGGTAAAGCATTTAGAACCGCTTAGTAAAATGGTGATCAGCTCACGTTTTATGTACTTAAAAACTCTGCGATGACACTACTGATGAATGCGGTGCAGAGGCCGGCAGACCTCTCACCTTCATGACCCCAGGACAGGCTGGAACAAGCCCTGGCGTATCTCAGGTTAGCCTTCCTAAGTTTTTGTCAGTTCTGCAAACGTTATTCTCATTATTACAATACAAAACCTTCTGACATGCTATTTCTCCCTTGATTATTGTAAAATTAGGAAACAAGTAAAATAACAAAATCAACATTATCTACATTCTGTACTTCAAAACGTATCCTATTACTATCAATACTTTCAAACCTTTGCCAAGGATCAACTATGTCCTTTTCTTTAAGAAAGAATCTCTACTTAAAGGTGTATGCTAATGTAGCCAAGAATTACCAGAAACTGCATTTCCCAAATTACTTTGTGTTTATTAGTATTAATACCAAACATAATGGGCTGCTTATGCCATAGTTTATAAAAGCCTGTACCTGGAGGCAGTAATATTTCATTACCGTTTGAAATGGATGGAATGTCTGTGACACCCCCCCCCCCGCCCCAATTCACATGCTGAATCCTGACCCCCAATGTGCAGGTATTAGGAGGTGGGGGGAAGGGATAGGGCTTTGGGAAGTAATTAGGTCGTATGCCAGGCCATCTGCCACCTGAAGAGGGCCACCAGAACCCCACCTCGCTGGCACCCTGATCTCAAACTCCCAGACGTGAGAAATTATTTTCTGTTTTTAAGCCGCCTAGTCGGTGGCATAGTTCCAGCAGACTGCACTGATGATGACCTCTGTAAGCTACTGTAATGTCACTGCCTGTCAGAATTAGTCTAGTTAGTACTATGTGGAAAACTCGAGAATTGGCATGGAAAATAGAACGCCAGCTTCCTCATGCATTTCCCGTGGGGAAAGCTGGTTTTACTCTACGCACCTGAACATAGAACTTGGGCACACTTGCCAGGGCGTTCACTATATTGGCGAGGATGGTGCTGGACGGCGGGGGGTACATGTACTTGAGGCAGGAATCCAGAGGAAACGTCAGCCTAGAAAAAGTATTTAAAATGCTCACTGTGTTCCACTGACTTTCATGTCAATAACTCGTTTTAGATAATCTGGTAACAAAAAGAACCGACCCAATACTTCAGTAGTCTAGGGTTGCTGGGGCCTAATAGACCCAAACAAGCCCATTTAGGAAGAAAGCTGCCTTCTGGCCGCATTACAGAAAAATAAGACTTTTCTTATCAGACCTTATCTCGTAGCTCTGAACATTCTAATGGAACCAAATTCAGTGACCAGTTCTTATAGCTCAAAATGTTTAATCGACAGACTAAAAATAGACATGACCAAATATCCCTTTTGAATAAATTATCTGATTTACAGTACACACACACACACACACACACAGAACAACAAAATACAAAGAAAAAGCGCTAACCCGTGGTTTGGTGCAATTCCATTTTCTATAGTCAAACAACCAAGTTCTTTCTTTTCCTTATCATCTTCCACAGGCTCATCAGACCTAGGACACACAGAATCAAAGTTGATCTTAACTTTAGAAACAGAGTGAAAAAGTACATACAGAAAAAAAATTTTCTTTTCACACATGGCACTATGAAAACTGTTCCGTAATAAATAAAATGTTCAGATACTGTCCATGACATGCGACATTTCATTTAATCTTCACTGAAACCCTAGGAAGACGGTGTGGTAAATCTCACTGAAGACTGAAAACCCCTGGCATTTACATGGCGTACAACAGTGATGCTCCAATTTCTCTAATTGCATTGTTCTCCTCCCCCAATTTCTAACTTAGCAGACCGGGTTAAGGCCCCAAAACCTGTATGCCAGTCAAGATCCTACAGGAAGCAGCTGGTCCAGGGACTACTAGTCTTTGAGAACCACTGGTGTAAAGCTTATTTGTAAAGGTTATGTAACTTACAAAGAGCTATTACTAGAAAGCAAATACTAGTCTTTGATTGCAAAAGCCATACCTATGCATGACACCCATGGTCTGTAATACAACAGACTTTATGCTAATTACCTTCCCTCCACTTAAAGGTGAATGTTGTTAACAGTACTTCTTCCCACTTCACATTCATTCCTAATATTAAATCAACTCCTAATGCATGACTAGAAACAAAAATGCATTGTTTTAATGTATTACATTCAATCAGAGCAACGTATCAATGTGAGGAAAACCCAACTGTCTACGTACCTTTTCTTTTTGTCGGTGCCTGAAGAGGGACATGGGGAATGAACTTCATCTTGCTCTTTTGCAAATTCAACAACTAAAGTGTGACCTAGAAGTTTCAGCTGGTGGAGTCTTGTCAGTGCCTTCAGTTGGAAGAGAAGAATAAGAAATCGGATAACTGCACCAACAGTGATTTGTTAGAGACCATCTGCATCCACACATGTCCTTTGTTAATGCTGTTACCACTTCTTTGGCTATTTCTTACCCATTTCTCATTTCACGCTGCCCAGCCTTTCTGACTGGCTTCCTATCACTTAGCAAAATTAAAATCTGATTAAATCCAGCACATAGTTAATCTACTGTTCTTAGATCCCAATACCTAACCTCTGGGTGAGATCTGCCAACTGACAGTCCAAGGTAGCCTGTGGAGCCAAATCTTGAAATGCAAACCCTTTTGCTTTTTAAAACTATAGTTTATGTGTTATTTTTGAACCAAGACTGGATAATTGTTAACTTTGATAGTAAAGAAAAAGTCCCACCTTTACAGCTGCTTTTTCATTAGGGAAAGTAGCAAACGCTGTATGTTTCTGAAAAAGAATTAAGGCACAAAAATTATTTTGAATATAATTTCAGGTTTTCATAAGGAAGTCTGATATATTACCAGTTAGTAGTGATTTGACACATTAATAAAATCTTGGAAAAGAATGAAAAATCAATATCACTTTAACTGATTACTGCTAATTTCACACACACACACACACACACACACCCGTCAAATAGTTCAACAGATCAAAAGTTTAAACACTTCTATACCCAAAGGACTATCCTTAAAATATCCAAAAATATAAAATATCTGCTATTTTATAATACATATAAAGATCTTAAACTTTATACACCCAAATGCAGAGTTTAAAAATGTTCATAAGGAAGAAAATTCCTTGAGTGCATGTTTCCTGTGGGCTTTATCTTTGTAATAAGGGTTCAAAGGAAGAACTCTATGTTTAAATATAAATTACATTAAGTCGAAAGAAAATAATTATACTAAGAAAGAGTTCTTGCCTAGAGCATTAAAGTTGCTTGAGTAAATTGTTATTTTGTCTCATCTGATCCAAGATGACTTGATTAAATGCACTTAAACTGAACCACTTAGAATATTCGTATCTGCTGGTCGACAGCAGGTCCTGGAACAATGAATGTCATTTTGTTCAAAGTCCGCTCCTTCTAAGGTGGTGAGCTGCCTCGGGAACTTGATTACCTCTTGTTTCCATCAATCAGCCTGTGGTAAAACCAGCTTCCTTGTATGTCCTTTTGCTTAAAGTTGCAGAACCTATCGAGGACTTACGGTACCTGACACTTGGACCAAACTGGTCTTTCTTCACTAATCCTCAACCCTGGCTGCGTATCAGAATCCTAGGGGCCCTGTAGCTCCACGGGTGACTTGTCCCAAAGGCCACCTTGCGGAAACTTAGCGCCTTCCTCTTCTAATGCAGACAAGTCCAGCTAAAACGTCGTCAGGTATAAAAGAAACGAAATAGGAATTCTGTACCTAGCTCTCTCCAATCTGCTATTGCAGTTTCTCTTCTGTTCATGGACTGTCTTATGAGTGGCTTGTAAATGAACCAACATTTTTTTCAGTCCTTCTTCCCTGTTTCCGAGAGCACGGAGCCTGGGAGGAACACCCCCATCTTCCGAGGCGTTTGGGGACCCCGGGATGGGTACCTAACTAAGCCGCGACCCCTCCTTCAGCCTCCCCACCTCCCTGTCCCGCGGCGCTGTCACCGACCCAGGCTTCCGCCCATCAAAGCGCCGCGGGACCCGCGGGAGATGGGGATGGTAGAGAGGGGAGCCCCGCGCCGCGAGCGCCTCTCCCCACGCGAGCGCCTTACCAGTCGCCCCTTATCGGACAGGACGCGCACGGACTGCGCCCCGAAATACTTAAGCAAGTCCTCTTTCTCCTCCGCGGTCAGCTCGGCCGGCAGGTGCCTCACGAGGAGGGTTCGGTCGCCCCGCGGCGGGGACAGCGAAGCGGAGCTCGGGCATCCTCTGGCCGCGGGCAGCGGCTGCTCGGGGGCCGCCATGGGCGCCGGAGAAGGACCGACCGGCACGCGGAGTGGACCACCGCAGTGAAACGCAAGCTGGGATCAATGGTAAGTTTTCCGCCTCGCGCGAAGGATTCTGGTAGCACGGAAATGCCGCGAGAGGTGGTCGCCTTCTCGCGAGACGCTCGCGAGAGTGACACTTTGGAGGGCGGTTCCTGGGACTGGAGGGCGTGGTTCTGCCATGATTGGAAAGGAACGTGATTAGGATTCCAGGCGGCTGCGGAAGGTATTAAAAACGAAAATGTGCCCGACAGAGTGTGAGGATTTAAAAAGTTGTCAAAGAAGGAACAGAGAGGCAATACCTCAATCGAGCTGAGGAAGGAGGAGGGAAGCCCGACAGGAGGAGTCTGATGCGCATGTGCGGGCGGGGAGCCGGCCGGGGCGCCGGCAGGGGCGTGGCGCCTGCGCAGTCGGTCGCGCCGTCGGGCTTCCCGCTCCTGCCTGGAGGAGAGGAGGCTGCAGGGTGCGCTTGTGGGTGTGGGTGTACTGTGGGGATAGGATACCTCGGAGACAGCAAGTTCTTTTTGCAACTCAGCGAGGTCCACGCAGGCAGGAGAACTCGGTGTAAGGAACAAAGGGTCGAAACACGTGTTTTGTCTTCTGGGTCACTGTGCACACAGCAGCCCGGTGGGCGCTCAGGCCCGGCGCATTTCTTGACTAATTCACGCTTCACTCCTGCATTCACCGTGTGCAGCAATGAAGCAGAGCTCTCTACTCTTGCTTGAAGACACTGGGGTGTTCTTGTTTCTGTTCACTTAGACATGCGGCAAATGCACCCCCTTAATGATCTTGATCTTCATCCAAAGGGGTCCTTGGGGTCCTTGCCTTTAAGTTCCCGTATACCTCTTCCTCTGGTACCACACGGTTTCCTGCGTATTCCGGTTATTTGTAAGTTTGATTTGATTCGTGCACTTAATCATTATCCACCTGGAATGTTGCCGTACCCCTTCAATGGTCTCCTTACTCCCACTGCACACACCCTGCAGTCTGCTCTCCGTCACTGTACCTAGTGCGATTATAAAAAAATATTTTTATTGATTTCAGAGAGGAAGGGAGATAAGATAGCGAGCTAGAAACATCAATGATGAGAGTCATTGATCAGCTGCCTCCTGCACGCCCCCTACTGGGAATGGAGCCCAAATCCCTGGCATGTGCCCTGATTGGGAATCTAACCTTGACCTCCTGGTCCACTGGTCGATGCTCCACCATTGGGCCACACAGGCCAGATGTCCAATCTTTTCTTTATCTTGCTTGCATGTATCAGGGTTTCCGTTTTTCATTCAGAGGTAGTTAAAAGCACAGCTTTGGAAGTGAAACTGCCTCGGTTTATATGCCTGTTCTGCTGTGTGACTTAGGGGGAGTTCCTTAACTGCCCTGCCAAGTTCTCTGATCTGTAAAATGAAGACACCGTCTTCCTCATAGGCTTGTTATTAAGTATTAAATTAATGAATCTGCCCTACAGTTCTCTCTGTTATTTTTAATTTTAATTGCTGATTATATGGGTGATGTTTGTCTTCCCCACTAGATTTTAAGGAACCGTGTTATTTTCTCCCACCATTGTAGCTCCAGACCCCAGCGCATAACAGGCACTCTATAAATTGTTGTTGAAAATACATTTTTAAAAAAGAATGGTTTAAGTCGAGGTAACAATGCATGCCTGTGTGTGCACTGAAGTCAGCTGCATATTCTCAGTTATCAGTCACGGTCACTAGATGGCAGGCTTGTCCCAGGCAAGGCAAATGCTGCTTTAAGCCCCCAGGAACTAAGACGGGGAAGTGTCATATACTAGGCAGTGCATGGTTTTTAGGCTGATAGGAAGATGAAAGTTTAATCAGAAATAAGAATTGCCTATTTTTATTCTTCATTCCATCATGTGCTCTGCCCTCTGACTAGCTCATCTTTCATTTTATTTATTTATTTTTATTTCGTTTTTTAAGGTTTTACCCGGCCACACAGACACTGGCTGAACGTGGCCCGGCTGCTGTGACAGCCGGGTGAGGCCCGTTAGGATTCCGAGTCACAAGTGAACCCGTTGCCTGCATGTCTGTGGGGAAAGAGCAATGTGTCCCTTCTCGAGGCTGCTCCCCAGGTGTCCCGCTCACCCCCAGCAGGGCAGGCCCGAGACCTGGCTAAGGGCACCTATGGGCACTTCTGTCCTTGGCGTTCTGTTCAATAGAGATCAAATCCTGGACACATTAACCCCAAAGCCGGCAAGAGGCGTACATAACTGGACGTGCTGAAGTTTCAACTCTTCCATTTCTAGAAATTTCTCCTTTACTTCTGTTTACTTAAGGACCAATTGATGCCATTTTCCCTTTCTCTGGACATTCTTTCCAAATGGGAAAAGCCAAAGAAAGCCACACACATCCATATTTGCTGAGCTCTTAAGATCCCTTCAGCATCCAAACTGCAACCAAACTCAAACCAGCCGCGCTTGTCAGTGTTTTATTTCAAAATTCCGGAGCCGGAGGCTCCATGCGGTCCTTGTGGGCAGGAACCACCACTCAGGGCTTCCAGAGAAAACTTTTGCTGGCTCCTCGACCCGGTCAGAGGCCCCAGGCCCTGGTACAGGCCCTGGTCAGAGGCTGCAGCTGCCCGCTGAGCACAGTCTCAGGCAGAGCCCAGAGCACACAGGAGACTGGATAGAGGTCAATGGGCATCCTCTACATATGATACATCTAGCATTTCTCTCATTCCACTGACACCTTGTTACAGTGTTCATAATTTCCCATTGAAACAGTGGTCAGAAAGGTCTCTTATAGGATTATTATTAGAGTTTTCTTACTCCTTTCAACCACAGACCTTTACCTGCTGGCTCCAAAATCTACCATGATTATGGCTGGAACATGAGCTATATTCTATCTTATGCCCTCTGTCCTTTATTCTTGAGCAAGAACTTTGTCTCTTCTTCTTCTTCTTCTTCTTCTTCTAATTATTGCTCACTTATATGGGTGTGAGGCACGTGCCATTTTCGTTCTCTACTAGCTCGCAATGTGTGCCATTTTGGGAAAAGAAGCTGCTATTGTGCCTGTTTAATTGCACCTTTTTTAGCAACATTACCAACAGGCACCTGGTATAAAAGAAAGAAATTAAAGTGTTGAAGAGTCTATAAATGAGATAACCTCTAAATGATCGAAGTTTGAGGCTTTTGAAAATTAATTTTATAAATACCAATCTATTGAAATGGATTAAATGTGTGTATATGCTTCTTAATCAAAAGGCATGTGAAAGTATTTTTTTCTCTACTTTTAGCAAAAAGGAGGGAGTAGCATAAGATTCCTTCTATCTGTGAAGTTTTCAAAAGCTTTTACCTATTTTTGGATAGTTTTAGCCAGATTGTATATTACAGTGTATTAAGTCAGAGAAAATACCTGTTTCATAAGATCAAAAACAAATTGTTGTTGTCTTCTAGGTAATCTGCATGGTACATCTAAACAACAGAAGTCTGACATTTAGTCAATATTTGTTTTCCAAATTAATGATTTTGGTCAGTACAATTATCCAGCCATACCTCGATTATCTAGGATTAAGCAAACTGGCAACCTAGCTCATGTAAAATAAAGTCTACCCCCCTATCAAAGAAATATGCAAAAATCTCTGAACATTCAGACCGGTAACTTGCTCCCAGCCTGTTTCTCAGCCATGGGGTTTGCATTGAGCTACCTCTGTTTACTTCAGGGCTAGACTCATTGGCTGGAAGCCATCACAGTCCAGCCATTGACCTGGTTTCATGGGAGCAGCAGACAGTCCAATGAAAGCCCGCTGTGATTGGCTGGGCTCGTCAAGGCTGGGCTTGGTGATACGGGCGCTGCGTGGCTTGGAAACAGCGAGGCGTGTTGTTAAGGAGGGAGCGTGGCCCAGAACAGGGCCTCCACAAGGAGCGGAGCCTGAACGTTGGCCCTGGGGCCGGCTGGTTTCTCTCCTGACACACAGCTCCCCCACCGGCTCCTGTAGTCGGCCAGGCTCCCTCCCTTCCGACACCCACCTTCTTTGCATTTCCCAGCAGTAGCTACCAAAAGAATCCCAACTCATGGATCTAGTTTATTCTTAGATGAGCTCTTTGGTTCTTTATGCAGGTACCTATTTTTGATTTATGAACAATTCTAAGAACCTCCATTGTGTAGTTTTGCAGCGACCAGTAGAGAAATGAAAAGTTGAAGGGTAAAGATGGGCAGCCCGCCTCCATTCAGTTGGCGGGTGCATGTTCTTAACCTGTCAGAATGAAGACCCCTGGGGATAATGGACCACAGCTTCCTTTTTGTGCCTTTGTCCCCAGTTTCTAGGGTGATTTCTTGTGCATTGTAACCCCTCTTAGTAAGGGCATTATAACTTATAGGAGAACAATCTGGATTATTGTTTCTTAGAAAAAATGGATAAATGAAGAAAAGCATATTTATGTTTAAGATAATAAGTTACAGCCACAGCCAGTGTGGCTCAGTTGGTTGAGTGCCGTCCCATGCACCCTATAGGTTGCCAGTTCCATTCCTGGTCAGGGCACATGCCCAGGTGGCGGGTTCAGTCCCTGGACTGGGTGCGTCGGGGAGACAACCAATGATGTTTCTCTCTCCCTCCCCACCTCCGTCTCTCCCTCCCTCTCTTCCCCCCATTTATGCCTATCTGTGTATATCTATATCTATATCTATATGTAGATATAGATATATGTATCTATATCTATATATATTTATATATCTATACAGAGATAGGCATAAATGGTTGAAGAAAAACTCATTATTCTGTGATCTTGAGAAATCGCTTCACTTCTCTGAAACTCACCTGTAAAATAATTATAATATCAAGCTCAAGAATTTCTGTGAGGATTTAATAACATAATATATGTAAAGTGCCTGTAAGAGCTCAATGAATGCTAGCTGCTATTATTGTAATGAGTGATCAACTTTGTCATAATTAAATAATGTTTGATTATTATCATGTTGTTGTAACTTTTAAATTTTGTTGAAAGCTCAGTCTTGCAATTAAATTTGACAACAATCCAGTCAAGTTCAGATTTACATATTTCATTAAGTAATCACTTACCAGATTTTCATATCATGTTTCAATTTAAGATATCACTGGCAG